TATATATATATATAAGATAAGATTCTCGCTGCGTTCGTAAATTCAAGGCTAAAGTTGTTGAAAGACGTTAAGAATTTGACTTCTATATTAGTGGTCCAATATTTTTGTGATAATGTCAACATTGTTATAATACGAATTTTTTATTTTACCCAATAATAATGTTCTTTTGGAGAAAAACTATAAATAAGGGTTTACGTTTTGGGTCATAAACCCAGTGAGGATTCAGTCATATCTATCATCTACATGAAAGGTTTAAAAAATTCAAAAATTTCAGATCAAACCGGATAATATATTCCTTAAGTATTGAATGTGTTACAAATAGTAAAGTAGAAGAAATTAAAATATATATATACACACACACGAACTTTTAGGGCAATGGAATAGAAGTATTTTGAGATAAACTAATCTACTCTAGATTTTGCATCACCATAATAAAACATATAGATGATGAACACACTCTTGTATTAAAATTAAAGAAATTTAAAAAAATATTAAAAAGTTAAAGATAAAAAGAAAACAATGAATTAGAAATAAAAAAAGTAAATAGCTAGATAAAAAAGATATAAAAGAGAGAAAAATGGAAAATTTTCAATAAACCTAAGGAGAAATATCTTACAGTTTAACCAAATCTATCAACTATAGTTTATTTATAAGCTACTACATATTAAGGAAATAATTAAAATGCTAAATAAAAAACGTTGAGAAACTTTATTAAACTAAGGATACACACAAAAATATAAAAAAGAAGGATATCTATTTGTAATTAATTAATTAACAACCACTTTAAAGTTTTCAATTTTTTGGATCTAAAATAAAAATAAAAACAAGGAAATAAGTAGGTCCAGCCCAATAAGAAAAGACAAAATCAGTCATTAACATTCGATCTAAGCCCATTTATGTTGGAGATCCACATTTCGGCGAGCCTGCAGCGTCCTCGAGGCATGGGAGGCGGCAGCACGACAGGTAGGTCCCGAAATCCGGCGAAGTTCGCGTCCCAAGACCACAAGTTGACAACTTGCGTTTGCTGTCGAGTCTCGGTGATTAATTAATTTTTAACATCAATAACAACTTTAAAATCATCATTGTTTCAATTTTCAAAGCTAAATCACTAATAGAAATGTACTCAATAAGTGATACTAATGTTTTAAGAACACTTTGGAATAATTTGCACTAATATTCAAACAACTCATAACTAAATTAACAAATTTAACTTGTAAACACTATATTGTCATTATAAAACTCCATATAAACTATCTTGAAACATTAAAACTAAAATTCGACCGTATTTTTTTAGTGTGATTGAGTCACGGGTCACATGGGTCATATAGTGCAAAAATATCTCCGGGTCACATGGATCACATGAGAATCACATGGGTCATAAAATGCAAAATTGTTTCTGTCTCTTCAAGGTTTAAACATGGTACTAGTGCAAAGAAATCAACCCTATTAAACATCGTGCTAATGCAAAGAGATCATACTCATAGAAAATGTATTTCATACTTGATAGAAGTTATTTTACAAACATACTTGAGAACTAAATGAAATCATATAAACAAGTTATTAAACAAATAACAATATTTTTATTTGTCTTTCTTTGATCACTTTGTTCGCGGTTTGTCTGAGCTTGGAAACCGGTTTTGTTTGGATCTACGGGTTTTCTGTTTATCTTCCACAATCGGAGGTAATACCATGAGGTTTGTATCACGTAGATCGTCAATCAGATTCATGATATAAAAAAATATCCCCTTTGCTATTTTGATTTCAAAAAATGTCATTCTCCAACGACTCGGTGACCAGAAGATTAATCTTGGTCACATTGGTCATAATAATAAATTTATGGTGATTACACTAATTCATTATGTTCATACATTGTATATCTTACTAATCATTTGATAAAAATATTATAAATTCAAAGTTATGACCAATATGACCAAGATTAAATTTCTGATCATATGGGTCGCAGATGGAGAATGGTATGTTTTGAAGTCGAAATATCAAAAGGAAAGTATTTTTTTATAATGGCATGTATAAAGAACATAAGTTTGTGATCCGTATATAAGACATATGATTCATTGTGAACTATATGATTCATGTGACCGTGTGATCATATGACCACACGATCACATAGATCATATGAGTCACATGAGTCATATGGAGGAGAGAGAAAATCAGAGGAGAGATAGAATATGCAGAAAGAAATAAAAACTATATTTTGGAAAACTAAATGATTTTTTTAATTAATTAAAAAATAATAAAATGGTTATTGTACTTTTAGAGAGTTATATTTGAAGTAAGATTTTTTTTTAGAAGAGGGTATACTTTGAAGTATAATGATATTTCTGATAATAGTCCCGATAATAAAACCTTTAGTTATTTTGGTGAACAGTTTTAGAAGTACCAAGGAACGGGTTTAAATAGTCAGCCGTAGAATATGGTACTCCCCAAACCCTAAAATTCGACCTCAAGCAACTTTTTTAGAGTTCGATTTGCTCGAGGACTCGTCCGTCTCGGTCCAATTTCTATCACGCCTCTTCGTCAACAGGTTCTATACCTTCTCGATTATCTCTTTCGTTATTCCTGTTTGTGTTGATTCTTCTCGATTTGTTCATGGGTTCATCGGCTTGGGATTCTACCTCGATCTGGTAGCTTGTGGATTGTATTTCGCCCTCCTTTCGTAATCTTCTTTGGTGGGTTTAGTCCGGACATTTTTTTTAGATCTCGTGTCTTGTCCATATTATTTCCGCCTATGGTGCTTTAAACTTTGATTTTGGCTTCTCCGTCTGTCCCGGCTTTGATATTGCCTCTGTATGTTCTTTTTGTTCAAAGAATGTTAATGTATTTTTGCTGGATTCGTTTCCTGGGTCTGAATTTTATTCATTTCTGAATCATGGTTGTTGATTCGTTGGTTGTGCATTTTTTTCTTTCTAATTTAACCTGCGAAATGTTTCTACTTGTGTTTTTGCCGGAAGTGTAGAATTTTGAGGAGGTGACTACAAGATGTTCGATAGAATGTCCGACAGAAAAAAGCTCCTTGAACTTGTTCATTTCTTAGTTTGTACCAAAATCGGGTTATATTTTTATGAAAATCAAACCAATTGAGCTCGAGGGTTCTAAAAGTCGTTCAAGTGAGCAATATGTTATTCACTGATCTTAGTTACAAATTGTTTTGTTCCTGATCTTGATCCATTCACCCCACTTGGTTGGTTGGAAAGTTCGTAGAATCCTAGTAAATCTCGGAAGAAATGCTGTTGAATCTTTTGCTTATTAAGTTTCGGTGAAGTCGATGTTTGTCAGATTGAGCCTAGAAACACCATTAGTATTTAGTTCGATCAACTGTCTGAAGATTGAGCCTCTGTTTTTTTTTCTGAAACGTAAGTCATTATTGATCTTCATTGTCTACAGGTTCAATTTGAGTTGCTCTTGGATGGGTTCTGATGATTGTATTGCAAATTGACTTTTCTCTGTTATGACACAGTGATAGAGATTTCAATGCCTCCATTGGGGAATTTTGAATTTTTATTCTTCTTTTGTTTGTTGGATGTTGACTAGTGAACCATGTCATGCTTATTATTATATTTTGAAATGTTTAAATGGAATCTTCTGTATGCGTCATCTCATGTCCAACAGTTAGGTTTTTTTGGGCACCAAATAAAGGAAACTTTTTGAACTTAACATATGGGAATATCCAAAGAACAAAACTTTTTGATGTAATAGAAAAATAATACTAACTAAAGAAGTGTTACAGAAGCTAAAATGAGTAAGAAAAAATTGGACTAGGAGATTGTTGGAATATTCTGTCTCTTGGTGTGTCTGTGTGTGGGACTTGCTACCTTTAAGTTCCTTGCTTCACCCCCCCCTTCTTAAAAGCGCTTAATCTATGTTCATCCATATTTCCGAAACCTACCACCTTACCTGCCTTTATTCTTCTTCTTTGGCATCTTCTTTCTTAATCGTTTTACCAGTAAGTGGCACAACTCCATTTTTCTTTCAGATGTGGTTTTTATGGATCTGATATGGGTTGGTGTTTTTATGCACAGATATGGGTAGCTCCGGTGGTGAAGTCAACTGGAAACTTGAGGACCATCCCAAGCTCCCCAAGGGCAAGCCCATCGCCGTCATTGTCTTGGATGGTTGGGGTGAGTCTGATCCTGATCAGTACAACTGCATCTACGAGGCTCCCACTCCTGCTATGGATTCCCTCAAGAATGTATGCTCCTTTCTTTTTATACTTTTTTTCTTTTAAATTTTTTGTTAGATTAGTTTTACATCCTATGGGTTTGGTTTGCTACTTTTGCAGGGCGCTCCTGATCATTGGAGGCTCATCAAAGCCCATGGTACTGCCGTTGGCCTTCCCAGCGAAGATGACATGGGCAACAGTGAAGTTGGCCACAATGCTCTTGGAGCCGGTCGCATTTTTGCTCAAGGGTTTCCTTCTCTACTCCCTCTATTTTTTTTTCTGCTCATCCATGTATCTTTCTTCCGTTCTCTTATTTTTCCTCTCTCTTTCAGTGCTAAGCTTGTTGACATAGCTCTTGCTTCCGGAAAAATTTATGACGGAGAGGGTTTCAAATACATATCTGAATCTTTTGACAAGGGCACCCTGCACCTCATCGGACTTCTGAGCGATGGTGGAGTCCACTCCCGCCTTGATCAGTTGCAGGTTTGTAGTATTCTATCGTATGGCTTCTATTGTGTTGTACGAATATGTTTGGCAGAGGTTGGCATTGTTGACTGTTTAAATTTCTTTGGTGCAGTTACTGCTAAAGGGCACTGCAGAACGGGGTGCCAAAAAGATACGAGTCCATATTCTTACTGATGGTCGTGATGTTCTCGATGGTTCTAGTATTGGTTTTGTGGAAACTCTTGAGAATGATCTTGTGAAATTACGTGAGAAAGGTGTTGATGCTCAGATTGCATCTGGTGGAGGTCGTATGTATGTGACAATGGACCGTTATGAGGTTGGATTTTGTTTTATTGTTCTTAAGAATACCACTTACACATATTCTAGGCCTTACAAGTATTTGCATATATGCTATGCGTTGCGTTGTATGGGGAATTGCTGGCACTTGTGTTTAGCAGGTTTTACTTTGTGCTTGGGGTGAGATGAGGATCATTTTTGTTGAAATTTTATGCTTCTTCATGTTCAATTTGTGGTGTTTTTTTCTTCAAGATTAGTCAAATTCTGCTACCTGCGTGCAGAATGATTGGAATGTTGTGAAACGAGGATGGGATGCTCAAGTTCTTGGAGAAGCTCCTCACAAGTTTAAAAGTGCTGTAGAAGCTGTTAAGAGGTTGAGGGAGGATACCGGTTGCAATGACCAATATTTGCCTCCATTTGTCATTGTTGATGATAGCAGCAAGGCTGTCGGCCCAATTCTAGATGGTGATGCTGTTGTTACTTTCAATTTCCGGGCAGACCGCATGACCATGCTTGCAAAGGCACTCGAATATGAAAACTTTGACATATTTGATCGTGTCCGATTCCCAAAGATACGATATGCTGGAATGCTTCAATATGATGGTGAGCTGAAGCTTCCTAGCCGTTATCTTGTTTCTCCTCCAGAGATAGATAGAACATCTGGTGAATATCTGGTGCACAATGGGATCCGCACTTTTGCGTGCAGGTAATGTCTATCTTCTGTTAAAATTTTACCATATATTTTCCTTTCCTTTGTTACCTTGTCTAATTTTGCCATTTCCCATTTGGCTAAGCTTACCAAAGCTATGCGTTCTTTGTCTCTTTTTGCTTGTTAGAGTTCATAACAGTGTATTCTTTGTTGATTAAACTGAAGCAAAGGACCTAGCCAATCTTTTCCTTGTAGAATTTATATATTTGAAGAAAGGTGTTTCATAGGAAAGAACCGAATCTCGGATCATACTAATTGATATGTGCAATGCAATTTTTATAAATCAGTGAGACTGTCAAGTTTGGGCATGTCACCTTCTTTTGGAATGGCAACCGGTCTGGATATTTCAACAAGGAATTGGAGGAGTATGTTGAAATCCCTAGTGATAGTGGGATATCATTCAATGTTAAGCCAAAGATGAAAGCCCTGGAAATAGCAGAGAAGGCAAGAGATGCAATCCTTAGCGGCAAATTTGACCAGGTGGGGTATACATATTCTTCATCATCATGTATCAAACCTCAAAACGTTACTGAAGAAGCTTCTGTTGTTATGTCTCAATTTTTGTCGTTTTTGCTTTTCCAGGTGCGTGTTAACCTGCCAAATGGAGATATGGTGGGGCATACAGGTGATATCCAAGCCACTGTTGTTGCATGTGAAGCTGCTGATGTAGCTGTGAAGGTATGTATATATGATTTCAGATCTTTGAGGGCTCATGGGAGTGAGAACGAAGTACGAATCGTGACTGAAAAACGTGTTTCTGTCTGGTTGCAGATGATCCTTGATGCCATAAAACAGGTTGGAGGTATATATGTCGTCACTGCCGATCATGGAAATGCTGAGGACATGGTGAAGAGGGACAAATCTGGAAAGCCACTTTTTGGCAAGGATGGGAACCTTCAGATTCTTACCTCTCACACTCTGAAACCAGTAAGTTACATATAACAACACTCTGTTTGTGGACATTTCATTTGGTGGCAGTTGATGAGCATGAACATTAGAACTAAGAATGCTGGTTTTATGAGTATTAATCCGAACCCAGAAATCTCGGTCCTAATATTATGAAAAAAGTATGGTTGTAGAATATTCCGTAACTGTTGTCTCGGATGCAACAAATATAGGTTCCGATTGCGATAGGTGGCTCTGGTTTGTCAGCTGGAGTGAGATTCAGGAAAGATCTTCCAACGGGCGGGCTTGCAAACGTTGCTGCAACGGTCATGAACCTTCACGGGTTTGTGGCTCCGAGCGACTACGAGCAGACCCTTGTCGAAGTAGCGGAGAACTAAGGAGATATGTGCAACTCATTGCCTTGGTTAATGAAAAGAATGGCTTGATTCGAACTCTCCCCATTTATTCGGTTCTGCACTTGCCGCTTACACCTTTTGGCAAGTAAGTAACCGACCCTATATTTCTACAAATTAATAATTGAAGCTACAAAAGGTTGAAGCAGTTTTCTTCCTGTATCACTCACTCTTGGATCATCATGTTGGCGGTTTTTCTGCTCTTGGTGTCTTTGGAGAGACAGACGAGGACGGGATACGTATGAAGTGTATTGTTCTTGCTGTTGTTGTCTCATAATCTTCAGCCTTCACATTTAGCAAAATTGGAATCTTGTTTTTCTTTTTGTCGGTTTAATTTTTTTTTTGGGGGATTCGTATGAAAAACCGGAATGACGTTGGTTTGAGTAACTTAAACTAATTTTCTCCTCTCTTTTTTTTCGCAGCTCATTTTTCGTCATTTTATTTTCATAAATTGAGAACCATAGTGAACTTTGAAAGTTTTATAATCTTTATTTTGATCTTTGGTTTTTCATTTTATTTTGCATTTTACTTTTAATATGCTATTTTTATGTTTTATTTGTATTAAATTGAAATATGACTTTTTTTTGTCGTAATGAATTTTTTTTATCGTATTTGTTTTAAATTTGACAGAATAATTCAACAATACATGTAATTTAAGATGTCCTTTTTGTACAGTCTCTTTTTTTTATTCCCGGATAAACATCCATATCTTTGAAGCTCCGTGTACTTGGTAAACATTTTCTTAAAAAAAAAAAAATCAATATGTAATTATATTAATAACAAACTAATTCTATACATATAAGAATATTCAAGCTTATTTACCAAAAAAATAATAATATTCAAGCTTGTGTGTGGCCACCGGCGCTTCATAACAAATGAATTACCAAAACGAAAAATGTTTACAGACTGCCTCTAGGCCCTACCATCATCTGTTTCTTTCTTTCAACGTCATTACAATCTCATGCATTCGAATTCTCATTTCTCTTTTTTTCTTTTATAATAACACGTAAGGGTATCTATTAATTTTTTTATAACTAAAAAATTCACCCAACCTCACCCCAATTATATCTTTTACGGTCGAGAGGCAGTCTGTAAAACCGAAATTAAATTGTGCACCTTCCTCCTTACTTCTAGAGTTGAATCGGTCACCTTGAATATTTAACGATCGCTTTGCGATCCGACCACCTCAAACGTCTATCACTCGACTAACAGAAGGTGAATTTGTTATTCTTTTATGGGGGTCAAAGTCATGATATGTATTTATTTTCCAAGAAAAATATACAATGACCCTTAAAACAAATTCGTTTTCCTCACGGTTGTAACCATCTCCCCAAGATTGCCGTACGTCTTAAGTACCTCTTTTTTGTTTCTTTTTTTCTTTGGCCTTTCAATATATATATACACACACACTATATTGTTCTTTATTACATTAAGAAACCATATGTACTATTATTATTATTATTATTAGATTTACTGTTTCTTTACAGTTACGTGTACAGATCGTATGATTCGTATCTAACCCTTTTAGGTTAAGAGTAGTGAGAAAATATATATTATATTCACTTTTAACACGTCAGAATTTATTTTTGTTAGCAACTTGTCTCTTTACAAAACCGAAAATGTCAAAAAAAGAAGGCTCACCGACATAGTGATGTATGAAATTCGAGAAGCTTTGATATATAAGTTTATATTATATATATGCCCAATATTGGATAGGTGAATTCGTAAGAAAAGATGTAAATTTTTTTTTAACTCGGATTCAAATCTCTATTTAGAAAAAAACATTCACGTGGAATTTTTAATCTATTTCTAAATATTCACGTAGAATTTTTAATCTTTTAGGAGATATAGTTGGTCCCGTTCGATGAATTTCTAGATTATATAAAAATAGTTTATATTATATTCTGATACGACAATACAATAGCATGTATTAATTGGACTTACTCGTAATTTTAAATTGGGTTTGAGGTAACGTATTTTAAAAGAACATTAAATGCTGTCTTGATGAACTATTGGAGCTTGTTAACATATTCAGTTAGGCTGGCGATGATGATGTTAATTGCTCTTAAATATTAATAATGAGATTAGTCGTTGTTTATTAAGTTCTTTGAGTAAATACAAAATGTTTTCCACGAGATAATTATTCTCTAGAAATTTCACACTTGTCAATTAGTATAGTCTAAATACAATGTTTATTTCTGTTAATTACAAATACAAAGCAATAATTATTCAATTATAAAATTAGTCCAGTGGATAAAGTTAGATTGTAAAAAAAAAAAGATTGTATATTTTTAGGTTAGCTCAGCAACTCTTACTATATTGGATATTTCCAATTTTGTTTGAAATGATAAAAATCCGTTAAAAATCAGTATTTTCAACGGAATTCTAATAAATAAAATCCGTTACAATTTTATCATTCCGTTGAAAATATAATAAAAAATAAAAAATAAAAAAATAGATCTATCATACTAAAATAATAAAAAATAAAAATAAAAATATCATAAAATAAAAATATAATAAAATAATTAGATATATATACACATATAATACATACATAATACATACATATATATATATATCAATATATATATATATATTATACATACTTATATATATATATATAGTAACAGACTCATAAAAATTTAAGGTCAGAGATAATAATATTAATATACATTTAAAATATAAAAAATAATAAAAATATATAATTACAAAGATTTATATAGAGCTAAATTTAATTTTAATATGAGATCATTTAACAATTTTATGTAAATTTTTTTAAACTTTATAAAAAATTAAAATTTTCAATCAATTAAATAGGTCATGTGTCTCATCTCTTTTTTCTGCCCTATATATATATATGTATTTATATGTGTATATATACGTTTGTATTATATATATGTATATATTTAATTGTTTTATATTATATGATGTAGCGACCACGTGTACCACCACATTAGAAAAAATTAACGGTGTTAATTACCATTAGTGTGGAGTTTGAAATTTGATGAAATTTAAATAGTTCAGTTTTTTAATATTATTTTGATAATAGTTTATATTATTTTAATCAAACTGAAAAGTTTAATATTTAATTTAAAATTTCATGTAAAGTTGAATATTAAATATATTAATTTCTCAATTTTTAAAATTTATCAAAATTTTCGACGGCGAAAAAAGAAAGACTCTCACCTGATTTATTTTACGGATAGATAAAAATAAAAAGGCATAGAGAAAGTCTATGTATGGCTTTTCACAGTCAGAAAAGCAAGAGATAGTGTAAGTCATATATGACTCATGAGCGAAGGTACATTTTCGGTAAGTCGAAAGGCAAATAACTTAAAGATTTGGTTATTCAACTTTTTATTTTTCTAATTATTTTATATTCAAATTTTATTTTGAGGAAAAAAAAATAATTGCATAGTTGATGCATATGATCATCACCCTCTTACCAACTCTCGACCAATCGTATTGTTTCAGATTTTGAAATATATATATATATATATATATATGTGTGTGTGTGTGTGTATATAATGATACAATTTTTGTAAGATATTCTATTGAATTGAAATATTTTCTTCTGAAATACGTTTAATTGAAAAATAATGCGATTCAGATAATAAAATAAAAATTTCCGTTGACGTTATTTTTGTGGATTTAATCAAATTCTATGTCGTATTAATTATACCCACAAGTTGCTGGAACAAAAAAATCTAATTCAAGCAAGGCATTGTCCCGTGCGAGAAAAGAAGGTCTTCATTCATGTTTACTAAAGATTTAAAAAATAAAATTCTCTAAATCTATCGTCCAAACTTAACACTATATTTTGAGTTAACATAACTATATTTGATTAAAGAAAACTATAATAAGAAAAAGAGAGAATTGTTGAAAAAACTGTTTAGTCTCAATTTAAATTCTATATTTTTTCATCACAATTAATTTATTCTAAAAAAATCTTATACTTTTATATTTTTTCATCAAAAAGTTTTTACCGTCAAATAACAAACGAAAATTGTGACAGGTGTAAGTAGCACAAACAATTTTAACCAAAAAAAAAAGTAGTACGGACAATGAGCGGTTTTTCGAGTACCATTATGATGGTTGTGATGCTCTATACTGATCGTACGATATGAGAATATGTACATTATGATGAATTCATTGGATGAATACATTGTTTGTTCATTATTTATTTTGCATATTTGATAAATAATGATATCCATGGATCGTTATGAACGATCCTAAATTCTTTAGTCGCTTGTCATTGTGAGAGCAATGATGAATTAAAACTAACATGAGGCGTGATGGATGATCATAGTGATGATCATGTGTATTTGATACGGATCACGATCATGGGTACTTGTTTGGAACAAGTGACCGGATGACTCGTGTGAGGCTATGAAGTCTGAGATGCAATCCATGTACGACAACAAAGTATGGACTTTGGTTAATGCATCTGAAGGGTGAAACCCATCAGGTGCAAGTGGGTTTTCAAGAAGAAAACCGACATGGATGGCAACGTGTATACCTATAAGACACGATTGGTGGCGAAAGGGTTTCGGCAAATTCATGGTATTGACTATGATGAAACTTTCTCGTCCGTCATGATGCTTAAATCCATCAGGATTCTGCTAGGCATAGCTGCATATTATGACTATGAGATATGACAAATGGATGTCAAGACTGCGTTCCTTAATGGGAACCTACTTGAGGATGTGTATATGATATAACGCGAGAGTTTTGTCGATCCAAAGAGTTCGGGAAAGGTGTGCAAGCTTCAGAAGTCCATTTATGGACTGAAGCATGCTTTAAGGAGTTGGAATCTTCGATTTGATGAGACAATCAAACAGTTTGGTTTCTCACAAAACGAGGATGAGTCATGTGTTTATAAGAAGATCAGTGGGAGCACGGTTATTTTTCTGGTGCTATATGTGGATGATATCTTGCTCATAGGAAACGATGTTCCTACCTTGCAAGACGTTAAGTCTTGGCTAGGAACACAGTTCTCTATGAAGGACTTAGGAGAAGCTGCCTATAACCTAGGCTCAAGATCTATAGAGATAGATTTAGAAGGCTTCTGGCCCGAAGTCAGAGTACATACATCGACAAAGTTCTGAATCGGTTCAAAATGCAAGAGTCAAAGAGAGGACTCTTGCCGATGTGTCATGGTGTTGTTCTCAGCAAGACCCAGTGTTCTAAGACACTTGATGAGCGAGAACGGATGGATAGGATCCCATATGCTTCGACAATAGGATCTATCATGTATGCCATGTTATGTACTAGGCCGGATGTATCGTACACGTTGAGCATTACGAACAGTTACCAGTCGAATCCAGGAGTCACACTGGATCGCGGTTAAGAATATCCTTAAGTACTTGAGAAGGACTAAGGATTTATTCTTGATATATGGTGGATCGGGAAGACGAGCTCGCTAT